CCCCAAAACCCCAAAACCCCAAAACCCCATGTAGCTAAATTTAAAAATCCAGTAAAATTAAGAATCATCAAATGGTTCGTATAAAAAATTGAATTTAAATGAAGGATTAATTTCAGCAGCAACCGGATTTATTTCCTGGAGTTTGAGTATCCTCTCCCAATATAAGTGGGTTTTTTGGAGTTGTTTTTGGCATTTTTGATCTTTGAGTGTGAATGTCTTAAAGCAAGTTCTCAAATGCTTCTTTCACATTATTGTTGCTTAATGCAGAAGTTTCTATGAATTTAAGTCCTTCATTTTAAGCAAATTCTCTTGCAGCGTCTGTGGGAACTTCCCTTAATGATGGGTCCTATTACACAAGATCTAATTTATTTCCCACAAGCATAATACAAATGTCTTGCTCAGCATGAGTTTTTAAATTATCTAACCAACTTCTAAGGCTGCTAAATGTTATCTCTTTTGTTATGTCATAGACCAGTAAAGCACCTAAAGCTCTTCTATAATGACTAAAACCATTTTTATAACTAATAATCATTTTCTTACGCGCTACAAATTGCTCTATATCTTTCAGTCCCAGCTAACAAAAATAGTTAATAAAAAATGAAATACCAGTATCCCAAATCTAAGCTTTAACTGTACCACCTTGTCTGAGCACGACATTTTTTGTAGCGAATTCAACTCCTATAGTCGGGGCTGGATTCTTTGGTATAGATCCCTTCAAATATCTAAATACATTTCTAAATATATTTTATCATTACTGATTAAGCAAGCAGGTCTTGCCAACAGAAGCATCACCAACAAGGATGACTATATTTCATAAGTTAATGATAGATTAATTACTTTTGTACAAATGTTCATAGTTTTATTCCATTTTCTTCTTATAGCTGTTTATACTTTATAAATTAAATTTGATTTAATTATTATAATATTTACTAATTAAGCATTAAACATCAATATGAACAATAAAGAGATTTTGGTAAATATATATGATTCTTATCACTAAATAGGATAGATCAACAAAGAAATTCTTAATGGATGATATGATTGAATAATAAGAGCGTATGCTAACAGAAAGAGAAATAAATCTAACTCTCTTAACTTAAGATTGCAGAGGTGAGATTTCAATTCAATGAAATATTAAACTTTTACTTAATTTTAGACTATTTACCAAGAACACTTTGCAGTAAACTCGATAGAATCTAAAAATTCATTAATTTACTGAAATCCCTTTAGGATAGTAAAAGAGATATACTAATTAAAGAAGTTCAAGAACTTCATTTAAAAAGGCATATTTCAGAAGTTGTGAGTAGTATTGCAACAAGTAAATTGACTATTAAAGATCATGACACTATTATTGAGATATGTGTCCTCATGCACCATAGATATGAGGAGTTTGCTTCAAAATTGATAGATTCATTAGAAAAGCAATACTTTCAAGAAAAGATGAGTGAGTTTAACAAAAAGAGGAATATTCTCAGACTACTATCAGAATTATACTTAAAGGGACTATTTTCTGAGTTTAAGAGACTATTCAAGTGTATTACATTCTTGACTCAAATAGCACCTGATAATAAGGAGGAGTTTGCTAATGCTCTCATGGTTGTTACAGATTACATGAAAAACTATGGAGAGTTATTCTTTCATTAAATAAGTAAATAAAGAAGAGATGCGATAGAGGTGAGATTCATAAGCATAATAATCATATTTTTAGAGTGACTATGAGGTGAAAATAGATAGACCTGATTTCTTAAATCATTAATAAAGAGAAAAAATTCACTAATTCTTCCAAGAACATCTGCAAAAGAAATGTTTAGATGATGTTAATAACAAGTACGCACTGCTTAAAGATGCAAAGAGGAAATTTGAGGATAATTTAAAAGAAGTTAAACAGGATGAAAAAATTGAGTAGACTTATTTGACTCATAGGAACGAATTTGAAAAAATGCATAGCATTGTGTAGGAATTTGCCGACATCATTGATACTCCAATCCCTAAATTTGAGATTGAGGAAGACAAATCTATTTAAACTAAGATGTTTATAAACAAGAAATCTAAAGTAGATTCGAATGATTAATTTTCACCTTTTGATGATGAGCTATCCTTTAGTTTTTACAGAGTTTTCCCTGACTTAAGCAGATTTGTTTAAACAGATAAAGAGACTTCCCTTTTAACTGCAACTTCAAGTGAATAAGATTTAGATGAAATGAACAAGAAAATATAAAAAAGCTAAACTAAGGATCAAATTGATGATAGATCTCTTGAATTTATTAAACAGAATCCACATACTCAATATAAATCAGGAAGAAAAGAGATGGCTAAAATCTTATTTAATATTCCTAGAAACTCTTTATCCCTCTTACCATATTATGCTAGATTCACAGCAACTGCACATTAGTACTTCAAGTAATTATTTTATTTCAATTAATTTATTAGAGAGATGGGTAATGATCTGGCAAAAATGCTTGAAAATGAATTTAATGAACTATATTAGTAGAATGATGTTATTAAGATAGAGACAAAAATAAGAAATATCAGATTTTTGGGAGAGTTGACTAAGTTCTAAGTTTGCTCACCTTAAATCATTCTTGAGTGTTTGAAGAAATGTTTAGATGATTTTCATGGCCATAATGTCGAAATAATAACTAATCTCCTAGAAACTTGTGGCAAGTACTTGTCTAAGCTTGATGAAACTTAGCTGAAGTTCAATAATTTAATGGAGTTTCTATAGAGACTTAAAGAAAGTAAGATACAAATTAATCAAATTAATATAGAGGAGAATATTAGCAGCAAATCTCTCGCCAATTTAGAAAATGCTTTGCTGTAATGCAGAGGTTAGGTTAACTTAAAATCTCAACCAAGAAAATAAGAGCTCTTAACAAATATTCAACTCTATATTAGGCATTTATTCTTGGAAAGGCTTTCAAAATTAACCATAGATAAGGTCTTTGTGTTGATAGAAAAACTTCCATGGTATGAAGAGGAAGAGTTTATTATGAAAGTATTAATTTAGCTAATAACACAAAACTCTAAGTTTAATGATGTAACTTCAAATTTTAAAGTAAAATTATATATAGATGGATACAGTTGCAATTTTATTAGCAAGTTTGAAAGAAAATCACAGACCATTTATTGTTAGATGCTTGGACTAAATTTTCGAAGAAATACTAAGATAGTGTGAGAGAAATGATTTTAAAGAATCTTAAAGAAGAGTTGCAATCATGAAATTTATCAGTGAATGCTATAACTTTAAAGTCATCCATACTCAGAATTTGTTTGACCTTTTATATAAGCTTATCAACTTTGACACATTCTTCAGATAAGATGATGAATATATGAAATAACTAGACTCTCACTAAGATTCATTTAGAATTAGATTAATATGCACAGTACTAGATTCACTGGGAAGATATTTCTAAAGAGGTGAAAGAAGGAGGACCATGGACAGATTCTTGATGAATTTCTAGAAATATATCTATTCTAAAAACTATGTGTTAATGGATCTTGAATTTATGATTCTTGACACATTCGATACTGTCAGACCAAAGTTTATTAAATTTGAGAGCTAAGAGGAGGCAATAAAAGTTTGTGCTAAGATAGAGGAATATGAGGAGCTAGGAAATGACATTATTGAAATCATTAGAGCTTATCATGAGGACACCGAGATGTCGTAATATAATAATGACTATTACGATGATTATTATGATGAGGACTATGGTGAGGAAGATGAAGAATAAGATTAACAGTAAGATGATGATAAAGACTACCTAGATGAATAGTTGAAGGAATAAATCAAACTGCAAAAGTAACTAATAATGAGTGAGAATGAAAGATTAGATAAGTAAGCTTTTGAAAAAGAATTAAACCAACTTATTTAAGAGAGTACCACCGTAGCTAGAAAAGAAGTAGGAAATATATTATCATCATAGAGAAAAGAAATCTTAATTCCTTTCTCTTAAATAAAAAATAAAATGTCACAGCAAAAGTAATAAACTTAGCCAGCTCAAAGCAATATTGATCAAAAGAAACCAATTAACATGAATAGCATGGCATTTGCTCTAGTGACAAAGAAGGGAAATAAAACTAATGTTAAATAAATAGACGTTCCAGTAGACGCTTATCTAGCAGTAAAGACTAAAGAGAGGATTCAGGCTGAAGAGGAAGAAAGAGAAAAGGTAAAGGAGCAAATCTTAAAAATGACTGCTCATCAAGATGGAGATAAATAAGAACCAAATACTTACTCAGATGATGGAGGATCGTATGGTAATGAAGATGAAAATGACGAATGAATTTTAATTTTCTCATAAATACTAATCTACTCTAATTTTGAAAGCTCGGGGTTTTGGGGTTTTGGGGTTTTGGGG